TAGGTCCGTGCCGTTCCGCCTTGATTTAAATATAGATATTGTTCGTCAGATCCTACCGGTTTCGTCTTGATTTGGAGAATAATGCTTTATCAGATCCGTCCGGCTTCAAAGATTCAGCTTGATTCAGAGATCCGCTTTGTTATTAAACATTTAGCTAATTCAGGAGATCCGTTCTGATTTAAAGAATTAGCTGATTCAGATATCCGTCCTAGTCTTGAGATCCGTCCTATTCTTGAGTTCATTCCTATTCTTGAGACTCTTTCTATTATGAAGATCTATCCTGGAGCAAGGTTCATTAGAATTTCTTCAGACTATTATCAGTATATCTTAATCTTTATCTTTTATCTTACAGGGTTTAGTCCCACTTATTTTGATTTCATAGGGCTTTGTTAACTCTAGTATCCTGTTCTTAAATATGTCAAGTTTCCTAGATACGTCCTGTTTCTAGATTAGTCCTGTTTCTAAATACAGGGTGTCCCACGAAACATGACAGTTGGTGAATAGTTTAAAATGTCTTCTTCCATGATAATTTATTTGATACCACAGAAAATGACCTGTCAGTTTACTTACTTCTTGTTTCCTGTTTTTGTTCATAGACTTCCTGTTTTTGTTCATAAACTTCCTGTTTTCTGTTCAGAAACTTTCTGTTTTCTGTTCAGAAACTTTCTGTGTTCTGTTCAGAAACTTACTGTTTTGTTCATAAGCTTCATGTTTTCTGTTCATAAACTTCCAGTGTTCTGTTTATGAACTTAAATATTTACTTCTTGTTTCAAGTTCATAGTTCCAAGGCTAGAATTTGATCAATTTGTATAGTGGTAGGATAGAAAGTTATATAAGGAGGATCTAAAAGTTTTAATATTGTGGATAGAAAGATAAAGAAAAAGTCTACAGAACCAAAACGTGATTTTCTACTTAAAGAAAAAACTTTTATCTGTTTACTTGAAGAGAAAATATTTTTAGCAACTAAAGGATAAAATATCTTAATATGTTACATGATTTGGATTTCAGTTTCTCGAATAATTACTGTTTGAGATTTTTAAAGGTTTCATTACTCCTCCTAACTCATCAATCATGTATGTTTAACATTTAGAAACCTGAAATAAACAAACATATGTCTCCGTTTTGGTTTATTTTCTTGTCACTTTGAGGGACAAGTAGAATTGTTTCCTGGGACGAATGATGTTTTGGATCATCAAGAAACCACCCAGAGCTAATAATCTGATAAATTTATATTTTATGATATTTCTTAATCTTTAATTGTTAAATCGATCATTGTGAGTTAGACCCAGAAACATTGAACAATCTCAACAAGTTAAGTACACCAATGCATACGTATATCTTATATAATTCATTATTATTATCAATTAGTATAGTGGGACCCAAACAAATGTGGAATAAGACGACAATTAGACTTAAGTTTTATTTTGAATTTTACAAACCTGCAGACCTAGATCGCTTATTAAGCTGATTTTCAAAGCTACTGGTAATACTATTAATACTATTTGCTTTATACAGCATCAAATTGTTTCAAGATTGTTTTAATGTCGTCTTCGTATTCCACCAAATTTTAAGTCCCACTTTAATATCTTCCTTCTGTTGGTTTAAACATATCATCTACGTAGAGGAAATATTCAAAATCGTTAAAAGAAATTGTCATTGCTATCTAAAGGATCCTAAAATAACAGAGTGCTCTTAATAATTCACAACAAACCGTTATTTCAGAAAAGCCCTTTATACCACTATCCGAGAAATGATATCTTATTGCTCTCTAAAAAATCTTCCCCATTTTCTATCGAAATCCATGAGCTGTATTCTAGAAATGCTGCAGCCGTAGGTTTGAAATTTGAAATTTGAAAAACTGCTAATATTCTTGTCATCGTTATGTTTCCTTGACAATCCTTGTTGAAATTGTCTTTCAAGGATAATATTTCATTCTTTCATTCTTATTCTTCAGTGTGTTAATGCACATAGTGTATTTATGGTTCTACTCTCTAGTCCCAACATACTGACATGTCTCCCTATGGTTTAACCTTGAAGCTGTAAAGTTTAGCGAACCTGAGAACATGAAAGGGTTTCAGGACGGAACTGTAGTTTCTTCTCCATGTAGCCTAAACAATAGATTCGTGATGTTCCACGTGCTCCGACTTTATTCAATTCTAACTCAACATTATGCACTTCTAGTTCTTAACTCTTAGAATAAAAAGAGACGCATGATAATAATTAATTATATTTATATGAACCTTGACTCAGCTGATTCTTATCAATATTCCTTCCAAACCTAATAGGTTGGATTGAGTTAGTTTCTCCGGGTTGTCAAGGAGTTGGATCTAGATTGAATCATTCTTCCATCTTACTCTCTATTCTTTCTTGTATTATCATGAGCAGCGTTATTAATTTATTTATTAAGTATTTGTATTATAAAAATGCATTTCCTTATACACATCTACTTTATGAGAAACATGCCAATTTTCGGGTGCATACAATTTATATTATAAGATATTATGCAAATGTCATGATTATTTTACTTGTACTTACATTTTGCATTGCAATAAGTTCTGAAATCCTGTTGGCGCATTATTCAGTAGAAAAAGTATGGCGGAATTTTTCTTAGAAATTAAATTATATGGTTACCAAACAAGGCCTGGTTTGGGAGTTGTCACTCTTAAATATATATTTACATTGAATAAATATTTGAGAACCGTTCCTTCCCTTCTCCTTCCCTCCCCAGCCTCCGCCCCCCCCCCCCATTCGTCTCCTCCTCATTACAAATTTTATTCAATAAGAAGATAGCAATAAATTGTAGCTGTGCTGTTCTATACATTAATTCATAGTCATGGCTGACATGCAACAAGGGTAGATTGGGGGAGGGGGGGGAGGAATACGTTTTAAATGCAATGAGTATTGTAATGCTACAAAACGATTCAGAACTAAATCGAACTATCTTAAACTGTAAATGGAATGGATCCTTTAAATGCAGAAAATCATTGATAAGTTTGACGAAAGGACCAACTCTGGAATTTTGATTTCTAGTTTGACCTTTAACTAGATCTAGCCGCAGTGCTCTGCTCTCTTTAGTATGTCCTAGTCACAGCAAGCAACTTACTTACAGCCGGCGACGCCAAATAAACCTAACCTGACCTGTAAACTTTACAATTGGAAACCCTTAATCCCGATCGCTTAATCAGAATATCCACTGTGGAAACTTTTCTTAATTCTCTCTTTTGGTGCACTCTGATTGGTAGAATTTTAGGCACTTTAGTGGATAAAGATTATAATAATCTAAAGATTAACTAAAAGAGGAGATTAAGCATTGATCTCCTCTATTTCTATTTCTATTCTAAAGTTTTCAGCTCTGAACATATAGTTTGTCCATATTAAGGAGTTTCTTCAAGGGATTTGTCCTTTGTTCTTTTTCAGAAATTTTATTTTCTTGCAATAAAAACTTTTGTGACATGACCTCAAAAATGGGTACTTTGCCTCAATTATATCATCAAAAGAATTAAGATTATTTTATTTCCAGGAAAGAGATCTGGGGTAAAGACCTAATGCGCTAGTCTAGAAGAGAATAGAAGGAGAAGGACGGAGAAGGAATGAACCCAGAGGAGCAGATATCCTCTCGTAGCCTGGATACAGGATAGAATGAAAATAGTTGAGGATTCAATCCTGGAGGAGGTAATTTAACTAATTCTTAAATATCAGTTTTAATTATAATCTAGTTGTAGAGACGAAGAAAAGTTTAATGTTTGATATGGTAGGATAATAGTTAAAGTACTCGTTTTCAGCTTTTGTAATTTGGGATTCAATCTATATGTTATCTATATATCTATATATATATATAAAGTTGTACTCTCTGTCTGTCTGTTTGTTTGTCCGATCATCACTCTTGAACCCCTTGACTGATTTGCATCAAATTTTGATTGGGGAATTCGGAAGAACCACAGGAATGGTCTTTGCTCAGTTTAAAACTCAGTTAACAGGCATAGATAGTCGATGAAAATATTATAAAATATTTTTAAAAAACAGAAAAAAATATTTTCGATAACGTTGTCTTCTGCTAAATTTCCTATCATTTTTTAAATCTTATGAAAACTAATGTAACTTATGAAACAATTTATGTAATCGTTTTCACAGGTTATGAAATCTATAGAAAGAAATCCATTAAACTGTTTATGCAACCTTTAAAGTAGTTGCTGTTATACTTTTAAGGTATCTTGTACTCTTGTATTCAATGTCTAGATAATTATGTTTGAATTGTTTCTAGAGCTTTTAAAAAATAAAATTTATCTTTGTTTAGTTTACTCTTATGTTTGTTAAGCTTCTTGTTTATCTTTTAAACAAATATTTCACAAAGCTCTAAACAATTTTTAATCTTGCTTTAAAGGAAATTTCAGCGTCACTAAAAGTGAATATGGCCATTTTATTACAAGTCGGTTCTGAAAAAATGTCAGTATCTGTAGTCGCAAATATGTTAAATCAGATTGAGAAAAATCGGAAAGATAAATCTTTTTGTTTAGTTTAGTACTCTTTAAACAAATTATTTTCTCCGAATAAAGATGATTTCCGCTGACTCACTCGCTCATTCACGTCACTCAGTCTTCATCAGAATTTCTCCAATATTTGTTTACTGACTTATTTGCCTAAGTTTATTTTAAGATAAGAATACGTGGTTATAAAGATATGTACTTTATTAGCTCAAGTTAAATATTTATATACTTTCGGACATTCTTATTTTCCGCGGGATTCCCAGTTCTTACCACATTCTTACTTAGGATAGAAATAATAAAAATATGTTTTTACAGTAGAACATTTATAGAAATAAAAATTGGACGGAAGGTGGGGAGGAGCCATAGCCAATTTTATTTTATTTTTCAATTGAATTTTTCAAATATGTAAGTATAGTCCTTAAATGTGTTTTTGCTATCTTCTCCTTTATAACCTTTTAAACCTATCTCTGAAAACCACAAATTTGTAATATATATTTTGATATCTCTACATGCAGTTAGAAATGATGCATCATAGAATGTAGAAGTGAATAGTCAATGCATGAAGTGATCTACTAGTTACGAATTTATCTGATCTGATCATTGGACTGAATATTGTCGTGCTGAGGGTTGGATGAGAAGGAAGGACGGAAATACAAGGGTTTAGCAGCGTGACAGGAAGAGGATATGATTGAACTGTTCAACGGGTTTAACCTGCATCCCCACACAATCTCAATTTGGAAATCTCAACCAATTCCGAGATCAATTTCATTGATCTCCTACTCTGCTATTGACGAGGATTCATGGATTAAATCATCCTGCTCAACCCTACACAAGGATACACATGACAAGGAAAACTGGTTTTCTTGGATCGTGAGTTCTGGATCCCGGGGAACCCTCTCCCCTTCTCCTCCTCCCTCCCCCCATCCTCTACCCTTCTCACTTAGCAGATATCATGTAATCTCAATCTTTTTATTCTGATATAACTGTTTGTAAAGCAAAAATAGTATTTTATTCCATTTAAGAAAATCATTTTTTTTTGCTACAATATAAACAGAAAAAAAATAAAGTTTCCTTGATTACGCTCATTTTCCCTCCCTTGATATTTTTCTACCGGAAACTAAAATAATGACCATGTCTTAAATTTTGTCCCTGCTCATTGCAGTGATTATATTTGTATTTTTGTTTTTATTAATCTAGATTGTTCAGTACTAAATTTATTGTAATTTTAAAAATATTAAAAATTCCAAACCTATAATTTAATTGATTTGACGTATTTGCAAAAATTGCAAGTTTATCATGTTCAGAGTAATTGTGGACATTTAGAAGTAAATTGTTTAATCCAAGGTTAAAGTTTAGAATTGGATATTTGTAGAACCGGTGTACAATTTATAGTATATAGGATACCAGTGCAGGGTTGGATATTAGTAGTACTAGGATTCAGGATACAAGTGAAGGGTTGGATGTTAGTAGAATACAGGATACAAGTGAAGGGTTGGATATTTGTAGAACCAGGATACAGGATACTTTTTCAGGGTTGGATAATAGTAGAACCATGATACAGGATAGTATTTCAGGGTTGGATATTAGTAGAACCATGGGATACAGGATACTATTTCAGGGTTGGATACAAGTAGAACCATGGGATACAGGATAGTATTACAGGGTTAGAAAATAGTATAAAATAGGATACTAGTACAGAGTTAGGTTTTACTAGTACTTAGTATATTAATACAATGTTATTTTCAGCAACCTACCTGGAGACTGTGGGGGGAGGAGAAGGTAGATGGAGCTATATACACTGTATACCTCAAGAAGGTTCGCTATCATACTCCGACTAAATCCACAAACTCAGACGATGAGGACTCAATCTCCCACCTTGAGTGGGAGACGGTTCGGGTTCGATTTGTGAAAGCTGGAACTCTAGCTAGGCTAGTAGATGCTCTAGCTAGTGATACTGGAGAACTAGAGTCAACATATATAAACGTCTTCCTCGCCACTTACAGAACATTTGCTTCTGCTAAACAAGTTCTTAATCTACTCACGGAGAGGTCAGTTTTCATTTATAGTCTAATGACAGGCTGGAGATCAAAATTGGGGGGTTTGTGACAAGGTTAGAGTAAACTTTTAGGGTGTAGGGCATGTTGGAGAGTATGGGTTTTAAAAATGGTTTGAAAGTATACTTTGGGGGTTTAGGACAGGTTTGAGAGTAAACTTTGTGGTTTAGGACAGGTTTGAGGGTAAACTTTGGGGTTTAGGACAGGTTTGAAAGTAAACTTTGTGGTTTAGGACAGGTTTGAGAGTAAACTTTGTAGTTTAGTACAGGTTTGAGAGTAAACTTTGGGGTCTATGACAAGTTTGAGAGTAAACTTTGTGGTTTAGGATAGGTTTGAGAGTAAACTTTGGGGTTCAGAACAGGTTTGAGAGTAAAATTTGCGGTTCAGGACAGATTTACTTCGGAGTTTAGAACAGGTTTGAGAGTAAACTTTGTTGCATAGGATAGGTTTAAAAGAAAACTTTGGGGTTTAGGACAAGTTGGAGAGTAAACTAGGGGGTTTAGGACAAGTTGGAGAGTAAACTCTGGGGTTTAGGACAAGTTGGAGAGTAAACTTTGGGGTTTAGGACAAGTTGGAGAGTAAACTTTGGGGTTTAGGACAAGTTGGATAGTAAACTTTGGGGTTTAGGACAAGTTGGGGAGTAAACTATGGGGTTTAGAACAAGTTGGAGAGTAAGCTTTGGGGTTTAGGACAAGTTGGGGAGTAAACTTTGGGGTTTAGGACAAGTTGGGGAGTAAACTATGGGGTTTAGGACAAGTTGGGGAGTAAACTTTTGGGTTTAGGACAAGTTGGGGAGTAAACTATGGGAGGACAAGTTGGGGAGTAAACTATGGGGTTTAGGACAAGTTGGGAGTAAACTATGGGGTTTAGGACAAGTTGGGGAGTAAACTTTTGGGTTTAGGACAAGTTGGGGAGTAAACTATGGGGTTTAGGACAAGTTGGGGAGTAAACTATGGGGTTTAGGACAAGTTGGGAGTAAACTATGGGGTTTAGGACAAGTTGGGGAGTAAACTATGTTGTTTAGGACAAGTTGGGGAGTAAACTATGGGGTTTAGGACAAGTTGGGGAGTAAACTATGGGGTTTAGGACAAGTTGGGGAGTAAACTATGGGGTTTAGGACAAGTTGGGAAGTAAACTATGGGGTTTAGGACAAGTTGGGGAGTAAACTATGGGGTTTAGGACAAGTTGAGGAGTAAACTTTAGAGTTTAAGATTGGTTGGAGATGAAAATGGTAAAGAGAAGCTCTTTATAATTGAAAATATATAAACAAAATTGATGAAATTGACGAGTAGAGTATGAAGGATAAGAATGAAAGGAACTTGAGTTCAATGTTTAGAAGGGTTGAATGAGTTGAATAGCCCTAACCTGGGGGTTAGTACATAGTATTGTATGGTATAACAATGTAAAGGTCTGTAGATTCAGTTCTAGGCATATTTTGCTAAATAAATATATTGAATAAATATAATAAAGGGTGTGTTCACGTAGTTTCTGCAACAAACTCTGATTTTCTAATCCCTTTATCTCTCCAACCCGCTGTTTCAAATAATCTTAGTTTGAAATATCAAATGTTTACATCATGAGATAGGAAAGATATAGGGATCAGAAGCTTTCAGTGAGTGGGAAAACTCAATTCCTTTGATCAATAAATTGCAATAATTAAACAATTTGTACTGCAAGTCATAAACAATTTGTACTGCAAAACATGAACAATTTGTACTGCAAGTCATAAACAATTTGTACTGCAAATCATGAACAATTTGTACTGCAAGTCATAAACAATTTGTACTGCAAATCATGAACAATTTGTACTGCAAATCATAAACAATTTGTACTGCAAATCAAATGGAAAAACAAACTGTGCTTTACGGATCAATACATATTTATGTATATTAGCCTTTTAGGGCGCTTCGTGCCCATCTTCTGTTTTAATTGTGAACATGTTCTCTTTGTGTACATCTAAAGCAAAACTAAAAAGTTCGCGGAATTTAACAAAAATTTCGTGGATTTTCAAAATTTTCAAAATTTTTTGGAAAATCGAATTTTGATGGAGACAAATATTTGAACTTTTGATCATTCATAAACCTTCCCTGGGGCCATGTGAGGTCCCCCACAAAATTTGGGCCTGATCGGTTCAGCCGTTTTTACGTTTATTGGATACAAACAAACAAACAGACAAGCTAAATTTATGTATAGACTAGAAATTCAAGGCGCTTCGCGCCCTTCTTTCTGGGCTTTTAGGGCGCTTCGCGCCCATCTTCTATTTAAATTGTGAACATGTTCTTTTTGTTTACATTTTAAAACAAAGAAGAAAAAAATGTTGCGGATTTAAAAAAAAAATTCGCGGATTTTCTAGAATTTATCAAATTGTATATATTTACAATACTAGAAATTCAAGGCGCTTCGCGCCCTTCTTTCTAGCCTTAGAGGGCGCTTCGCGCCCATCTCCTAAATTAATTGTGAACATGTTCTCTTTGTGTACATCGTAAAACAAAACAAAAATAATTCGCTGATTTTCACAAAAAAATTCGCGGATTTTCAAAATTTTAAAAAATTTAATGACGATCGAATTTTGATGGAGACAAATATTTGAAATTTTGATGATTCATAAACCTTCCCTGGAGTCCCTAGATGTCCCACAAAAATTTGGGCCCGATCGGTTCAGCCGTTTTGACGTTTATTGGATACAAACAAACAAACAAACACCATGACAAACAGACAGACAGACAAGCCAAATTTATATATAGATTAATCAGACATAAACCATTTTACAATTCCTGAAAAGTTTTGGACTATTCTTAAAAACTGACCTGCTTGCTTCTAGGCCTGGCTGCAGGGTTTTCTAATTTAATGGAAATGTTCTGCATATATATTAAATTTTATAGTTTATGCAAAATTTACACGGTGAAAACTTATTCAATTTTTATTTTTTTGTATTTTCTTTTAGGGAAGAAGTTTAGTATTTGTAACAATTTTTGAAATTTTTGGTTTAAAAACTAATTTTTGGTTTTAAAACTAATTTTTGGTTTTAAACTAATTTTTGGTTTTAAAAACTAATTTTTCCTTCCAAATTGTGAGCATGGTCTTCAATCTTTCAGATTTCTTTTCGGAGACGGGAAGGGATTTTTGAATAATTTTTTTTTACATTTATTTTCATTGGGTTAGATTATGTTGAATAAGTTTAAAAGTGTAATCAATTTATTTGTTTTCTCATGCTTCACATTTTATTTCTAACCTTTTTTTTATATATAAACATAAGAAAAAAGTAAAAACAAGGAAATTAGAAGATTCCAAAATTGTCTAACTTGGTACTGAAATTCAATTACTTTATTTAAGATATTTTCCAGCTTCAAATAATATACTTTTGAAGAAAAAGTTCAAATTTTCAGTTTAATTTAAACATCTGCTCCTGCGAACTGTAAACTGATGCCTTAATATTTTTAACTATCTAGTTTTCTTAGAAATATGTTCAGTGATTCTCCTTTTCTTACCAAACTCAAATCAGACATGTAAATAGTGGATTGTTTGCATTCAATAAACGTCAAAACTGTTGAATGGATTGTTTGTATTCAATAAACGTCAAAACTGCTGAATGGATTGTTTGTATTCAATAAACGTCAAAACTGCTGAATGGATTGGCTTCAAAGTTTCTGGTATCTTACATGGAAGTGAAGTTGAAATAAATAATAAGTTTTGACTTTTTACAAAGAAATTAAGTCTTTTCTGAACCCTATATCTATGCAACCATATCTCAAAGACCTTAAATATTTTAAACTATGAATAATGTTAGATCAAATAATCTAAGCTTAAAATATCAAAGATTTACACCATCAGGTTGCAAAAATAAAGAGATTAGAAAATGTGAGTTTGTGGCAAAGACTCAACTACTTTGGAAATCAATTCTAACAAAAATTGTACCAAAGATGGCGGTTTGAGAAAATTTTAAAGCTAATATTGTAGCTAGAAAATGGGCGCAAAGCGCTCTAAAATCTTGGCAAAAAAACAGATCTCTAAGTTTTGAAGATCTGTTAAATCATATCTCTAAGTTTTAAAGATCTGTTAAATCATATCTCTAAGTTTTGAAGATCAGTTAAATCATATCTCTAAGTTTTGTAGAACTGTTAAACCATATCTCTAAGTTTTGTAGAACCGTTAAACCAAATCTTTAAGTTTTGTAGAACTGTTAAACCATATCTCTAAGTTTTGTAGAACTGTTAAACCATATCTCTAAGTATTGTAGCACTGTTAAATCTAAAAATAAGATTATTAGCTGTAGGAGTAAACCCTACCCCTATCTGACAATTATAAGCTAATTTGGAAGTTTCTATGAATTTTTATCACATTTGGTATTTTTTATTTATTATTTTTATTTTCAATAGATAATATGAAAAAGAGTCACGTTAAGAATATGACTTTGATNGTTCAGGAACCAGAATAGGGGGGTTTGCCATGTTGCAGAGATGACCTTACAATACAATTCTATTTAAAGGGGGGAAATTATTGCAGCCAAATAATTCTATTTTAATCCACATTTTTTACACTTTATAAAGGTGAACTTTAGTTTATTTAAAGCGTTTGCAGCTGTTAAACCTTATTCTGAGACACCCTGTAGCGTATTGTCGAGTAAAGAGGAACCAGGAACGGAGCGCGTCCTTGCTTCTCTGACCTTCCAAACCTGCTCAGTGCTCATCTCCCACCTAGAGCTGGTTCTCAACACACCTTTCATCCTAACCTTTAGATTTTCTGTAAACATGAAAGGTTTAATATAAACCTGGCCAAGCTTGAAATTGACTTTGCATTTTCTTTTGGTTTTTCTCTCTCTCAAGACTCGATTTAATTCTTTATGATAAAGATTTTTTAAAGATGCTGGGGCTTGTTGGNGGGGTGGCGGTTAACAACCCCTATTCACTCGCCCATTACCATTGTTATTTCTCTGAATCCAATATTTTTATAATTGAAAACATTATTATAATATTATTTTTCTAGAAATTGAATGC